ATTCATATTGGCAGTTTATCATGGTCTGCAGAGCATATATGGGTTGGCATGCTACACCTATACAACAAGTTTCAGTCATCCTTTTTATTTTTTTTTAAATGTTACGAAACTATGATGCTGTACACTAGGTTCAATCTTTGTAATGTTGCAGTATAACTTCATAAATTTAAAGCAATTCCTTAGTTACAATGCTATTCAGTGATGGCATGGAAGTTACCAGATGTTCTATACTCTCTTGGTTTTTTAGTTAGAAGTTAGAACTAAGCCATATGCAATATAAATCTGCTTTAAGTTGCACGACCATTTTGTTGCAGGAAAGATGCGCTGGTGCTGACACTATCTCCCTTGTTGCTCGAATATTGCATAGATCTAAAGCTCATCTCAAGACAATGCTACTTCAGAATAATGCTGCTGTGGTTGAAGACTTCTATGCACATCTGGTAGGTTCCTTTGTTATTGTCTGCTGGAGTTTTTCAAAGATTTCATGCTAGCTTGGTGGGGTGTTAATAAAATGATGTGATATGATCTTAGTTTAATTTTCCATAGTGGACGGTTTAGCAATAATTGACTAGGAACATGTTTTATTGGTATAAAATGATTCTTGATACAATTGAATCTCATAAATAAATATCTTTGTGACATGGATGATACTATGATGGGGGTTGTATAATTGTATTTGTAAGTGATACTTCTTAGATTCTTACCAATGTGCATTTGACATTGAAAATAAATCCAAAGTAGAAAAAGAAAATTGTTTCGGTACTGCTAGATACTAGGTAGGCTTGTAAGCCTTGTATAAGTAACACTAATTTTTCTCACAATTAAGTTTTTGTATGTTTCTCACAATTTTATTAATATGACTTGTTTGATTTCTTTATTTGTTATTCATCTATAGGAGTCAAATGTTTTGACAAATCATTAATTTTTTTGATGAATGCCTATAATTCAGTTTGAATTTATATATATATCTTTATTAGGTTGATGCTGTACCAGATCTTGTAGAGCACATTCATAGGACAAGTGCAAGACAACTGCTCCATATTAATGGGTAAGACCAGAGTTCATGGCCTGGTTGGGTTTACTTTACTATTAGGTTTTTCTTTCTGCAGATAAATCAAACATCTTTTCATTTAAAAAGGCTCCCCTTTTTCTCTTGGTTTCTACTTTGTCATTTCATGGAGAACCATTATTTGCAGTTATGTGGATCGGATAGCCAATGCAAAATGGGAAGTGAAAGAGCTTGGACTAGAGCATAATGGGTTAGTTTCTTGATATTTATTCTTTATTTATTTGAAAGTTTCCGGTTTCATTTTTATGATCTTGTGCCATGCCGTTGACAATGATCTTTCAGATTTTGTAAAATTCCTTCTTGGGGCCAGCTAGTTTTTAACACATCAAAGCTTTATCTGTATGATAAATTAGGAGCGACATGTTTACAAAAACTGATTCTGTGGTAGTTATTTAGATCTTGGATGAGAACCAAACTTCAATTATGCTTATGGCTCTTGAATTTGTGGTCTTATGTTTCTGAAGGTTTTAACTTTTGTATCATATGGCATTATAATTTATTGTTTTCTTTTGGGCGTTTTCTTAAATATATCATTTGCCACAAATCCTCAAGTCTCAGAAATTTCTTCCCTGAGCATAACTTGTTTTAGGCCCTTCTTTTAGGTCTAATGCATGGTTCCTCTTTGCATGTCAATCCTTGACGACCATGTTCGCCTTGTCTTTGTATGTGCAAGAAACAGAGATTTGTGAAAAGTCTTGCTGAAATGGCTTTCACACCAATTTTTCCTCTCTACTACCATATGACAAGTGTCAAGTTTTCTGACATGAGTTGTTGCTTTAATAGGTATGTTGATTTGTTATTGGGAGAATTCAAGCACTATAAAACAAGGCTTGCTCATGGGGGAATTCGCAAGGAGGTAATAACTGGCTGTTTCTTGGAACTTTCACAATAAAATGGAGAAGTTGCTCTTCTCTCAATAGGGTTCGAATGGTTAATGGGATGACTTGATTGGCTTGCTTCTGGAAATTGTGTATTCTTTGGGTATGGACTGTTATTGTGTGGTTATTCTGTTATGCCTTTATGCTCTATCTAAAGTTACTTTTTCTCGGGTGGTAAAAGAAATAAGTTATTAGGTTTTACGTTGGGTATGCATTTTTATGGTGTGGTTATTCTGCCATGCCATTCTGCTCTATCTAAAGTTACCTTTTTCCTGGGTGGTAAAAGAAAATAATTTATTAGGTTTTAGCTTGGGTATGGAATGTTATTGTGTGGTTATTCTGTTATGCCATCGTGCTCTATCTACAGTTCTGTTTTCCAGAATGATAACAGACAATAAGTTGTTTGGTTTTACGTTGTTTATATCAGACTACAGGGATAAATTGCGCTTATATTTTTGTATAATGGTATGCACTTTTGACATGACGCAACTGCTAAATATGAAATTGGTATCTGAATTGCATAGTGAATAACCACATGCTTGTGCTAAGAACTTTATGTGTTATTGAAAGTGGGCATGTATTTTAAAAATAAAAATGTGCTTGATTGCAAATATATGTATGTATACATGTAGGTTCAAGACCTCCTCTTAGAATACGGACTTGAAATTGTGGCCCAAACTCTCATAGAAGGACTCTCCCGTGTCAAGAGGTGTACAGATGAAGGGCGGGCTCTCATGTCATTGGATCTACAGGTTCTCTCTCAAATTGGACAAGATATGAATCTCAACATTCCTTTAGCGTTGCTCTCCTTTGCAGCTTAATAAATTTCAGGACTCCTTTGTGGGTTTTAGGTTTTGATCAATGGCTTGCAGCATTTTGTCGCAATGAATGTGAAGCCCCATTTACAAATAGTTGAAGCCTTCATTAAGGTAAGCTCAAACATAGACTAAATAGTTAGCAAGATCTTGGGGAATTCTGTTATATTGGTAAGTGACTAGAACAACTTGGTTGAAATGGGGTTTTGAAACTAACTTTCACTCTCTTTCTACTCTGGGTCAGGCATACTATCTTCCGGAAACTGAATATGTACACTGGGCACGTGCTCACCCGGTAAGAGATTCCATCACTGCGGACTTCTTGTGGTTAGATTTTGGACACTGATTTTCATACATCATGAATATGAACTTACCCTTTCCACTGCAGGAATACACAAAAAATCAAATTGTTGGGTTGATCAACCTTGTTGCCACTATGAAAAGTTGGAAGAGAAAAACCAGACTGGAAGTGCTAGAAAAGATTGAATGAGCATGCAACTTCGGCTAAGCGTGGTAGGTGTTTTAATCATTTAGAACCTCACGTATTGTCGTCTCTCACTCTTCACTTAAATTTTTTCTAATGAGCTATGTATATTTGATTTTGTTTTGATTTTTCATCATCATGTGCACCGTACATGTTGATCCCGGTTGTATATTTTCTCGTGTCTGAGTTTGTAATATATTGTCATCCCTAATAGGGACGATTAAATGTATTTTTGGATCACATGAGTCGAAATAATGATGTATCAAGAGAAAAACGTACAATTGGAAGTTGGAACCACGAGCTTTCATCGAACTGTAGTAAAGCTTTCGCGCAATTTTCCGTTACCTTGCTTGAGCAGATGCTTATGAATTGGTTCTGTAGAATAGCTAGGGACCTTGAAATCTTCAGAGAAAGGCATCTTATCTATGTTTGGGTGAGCGATTGTGATTTCAAAGTCCCAAGTGACTGAGGTTAAGTTATGAAATGTAAAGATATAAAGCCCTCCATGACCAGTACAAAGGCATTTTAGAGAGATTTGCAAATACTTGGAAGGTATCGTTTGCAAACCCTCCAACATACCTTTGTAAATTGTAATGATTATGGAGCGCATTTCTTAATCCCTCCTATCAATTTTTTGTGTGATCCATTTTTTATCGACTTGGACTCAAATTCTTGAAACTTGCCAATCCTTCTCCCCAAACATAATGTTTAGGGAAATAGTACCTCAAAGGATCTTTTTATTCTGCTAGTAATAGTTATCTAACATATATTTAGGACCCTTTTTTATAATCTTTTTTTTTTTTTTTTAAATTTATTATTATTTTACTTTTTGTGTTTAAAATACGAGGAAAGTATATGGGTAAGGGACATATGAAGAAGGGTGATGGGAAAGGGAGAAATAAAAATGAATCAACAAAAACAAAATTTTGTAAGCGTAAAGAGCTTTAAATAGTTATTGGTTTTGAGGTTTTTGGTTTTCATTTGTCTTTTTTTTTCCTCCACATATTTTCCGTCGTCACCAACTCAAAAGCTAAAATTTGAAAATAAAAAACCAAAATAGTTATCAAACGGTTATTATGTTGGGACAAGTAAACGGAGAAAAAGAACATCTATCCCAATTCTATGTGTGGAAATAATAACTTTGTAATCTTATTTGAAGATTACAGAGAAAAAGTTCATCGTCACGTGACCTCTCAATCTAATAATACATTGTCGTGTGAAAAAAAACTCACACTTGACAATGTATTATTGGATACATGGCGCCATGTGATGATGAATTTGTTCTATGTAAGTTTTTTTTTTCCCGAATTACCCTCATTATCAGCATGCCACAAAGGACACAGAAGCTTCATTTTACTATAAAAGCCAGAGGAGAGCCTAGAGGAAAGGACCTTAAGTAATCAACCAACACTCTATGCTATCAAAGCTTCCCGACTGAGCTTCCTCTTCGAGGACACTTGTTTCCATTGTCTTGATCGATAAGGCATTTTCCAGCCTCTCAGAGCTTCATCATCTTGCTTCATTTCCTGTTTCCTTCCTAAAATCATGTGCACTTTCTTAAGTTTCACTAGTTCTTGTATTAGATTTTTAGTCTTTAACGCTTATGTTTAAGAATTGTACTCTTTCTATACAAATTGGAATGACGAAAACTAGTTTTTATTCAACTTCGTCTCTATAGTTCTTAGCAACCAATCCATAAGAGTGAAGTCATCAGCATTCGAGGAATAGATAGCAACTTAACAGAGCCAACGTCCTACTCATAGCATAATCATTTGGTTTCAAAATTAAGAAAAGTGCAACACACACTTGCACTAACATGCTTGCACACCCTCTCTCTCCCTCCTTGTGCAATGAGAGGCAAAGTAAAAATCGGGAGCAAATAGTTTGTCGCGACAGTTTAACTAGATTCAATTAAAACCCCAACATTATTACAGTTGGATACAATTAATAACCAAATAAATACTTATGCATAAGTTTGTCTAAAAACGATTGCTTGTTATATGATTCTTTCATTCAAGTTAACTTTCTTATTATAAATTAGATAAATAAAAAACCGTCGTATATTTTGATAAAAACAATAAAACAAAATCGTCGCATAAAAAAAATGGACACTTCCGTTTGTAATCAAACAACTATTCCTAGTTAAAAAAAAAAGAAAAAAAAAAAAACACCGAACTAATAAGAGAAATGTTCGACCATATACCAATTGAAGATTGAAGAATGAAAATTAAAAATAAAAATTGCTGCAGCCTCCTACGAAAAGTAAAACCATCTACCCTGCAGAGTCTGCAGCTTTTCCCCTCATTGCATGTTTGTGTCCCACGTGGTTATGGGTTTGCTTGTTGACTCCTCTTTGTACTCAGAGTCCTCTCCCCATCAATCATTTTTCTTTTGTTTGCTTACTTACTGTAGTAGTGTGCCTGCAGTCTGTCTTTTCTTGTACACAGTGTCTGTCTGCCATTGATATTATTATGTGTTTTGTTTTCTACGTAGAAGCAGCAGCAGCAGGTGATTGCGTGATGTCGGCCACCATATTCAATGCAATGCATGGCTGATCCACAGGTACCTGTAAATTAAGTAAAATATCATTGAAGTCGGTAAATATACAAAAACGAAATTTAATTGGGTACTTTTAAATTAAAAATGGAACTTAAGCATCAAATTATTGTTCATATATATTATATAAAATTTATAATAACATTTGTGTGTATTTTTTTCTAAAATATTTAGAATCGAAAAGGTTTCTGAGTTAGTTGGACTTTGTCAGCTTTGTCGTGCACATGAGTGTTACTATATACATACTGACCGGTCAGACTTCTCTTATTTCATGGACTGTCAGTAGTAACACACACACACACACACACACATATATATAGATTACTGACTTCTCTTATTTCATGGACTGTCAGTAGTAATACACACACACATATATATATATATAGATTACTTCTTCTATAATTAATATGTATCAGGTAATTGTCACGTCATATGCATGCAATGCAACGAAAGATATACCAAAGCGTAACTTGAAACAAACAATACCTACGATTATGTATATTTTTGTTTAACCCTAAATCATGCTAGGATTAGTTGTACATAAGTTTCATCATATTTGTAAAGTTTGTAGTGTATTATACGTATCAACCAATGATCAAGAACAGCTTATGTACCATAAGCAATTGAAAGCCAAAACCCTTCTTTTTGTTTTGAAATTCTTGCAATAAAATGATTTAAATGAGACAACAAAAAATTACAGCTTTAATTTTTCCATGCTCTATGCATGTATTTCTTCATAAATACTACTAAAAATCTTATATATGTTTTATCGTACGATGAGACAAATAATAATCAAACAAATGATCATAACAATTAGACTTATTTGTTGATTTCTCATTCGAATTTGTATAGAGCTGTTAATTTCTCTCTAGACTTTAATTTTAGTTGGTTATCCCCTGAACCTGTATAAATAGCTAGTTTCCCTTGGTGTTAAATTTTGAAATCTTCATCCAATTTTCGATCCATTTTGGTCAAAGGACATCACACAACAACTATATGAGGGCAAAAAAGTAATTTCGCTTTGGTAAATTGGCACAGGGCCAATGTGACAACCCGTTCCAAATTTTACGTTTTTATTTTATTTTAAAAGCGTGAATTTACGAAATTCCTCTAGAGGCAAGGACTTTGACTTCTGTTGACCATCGTCTAGAGAGACGTATGACTTATTCTTTTAACATATTCTCGTAATACTCGTGGATGTGAACGCATAAGCGAAAGCCGTTTGCGAGTCCGGATTATAACGGTATAGTTACGGACGTTCGAAATTGGTTATTCAAGGTGTAGTGTTAATTAAATTAAATCCCCAATCAGAAATTGGTTATTTAAGGTGAAGCCCAATCAGAAAAAGGAAAGAAAGAAAGAAAGAAAAAAAAAAAAAAAAAAAATCCCAGCTTTTCCCGTGGGTTTTCCCACTCGCGACCACCCATTTTCCAAGGCCGATTCCGGCCAACTCCGGTGGATTTTTTCGATGCCACCACCACCATCTTGAAGCTCTCATTCCCCTCTACAAAACCCACCCAAGAACCACCTTGATTAATCATGGGATGTGGAGGTTTGAGGCCACGAAAGTTGACGAAAATCAATGGTGCTCCGGCCACCCTTTTCGATTTTCCGGCAAATCGGCAAAGCAATGGCCGATGCCACCACTTGGGCTTTGTAGCCCATCATCCCAGGAGCAAAACCCAACCAACCTTGACCCCGTTGGACCACCGTAGACGACGAATCGACGTCGGGAAGTTTTATGCACCCGCCGGCTTCGTGGGCAAAATTGACCATCTTCCGTCCACTTTTGGACTTCGTGGCAGGTATGAAAGTTGCTCCACTCACTGAGATCTTCATTTCTGTGAAGTTTGAGAATTTTTGGAAATAGTTGGATTTTCCGGCGAGTCGGGGCGGCCGACCGCCACCCGCGGCGGCACGTGCGGCGGCGCGTGGCCAGTGGGCCGCCAATGCTATTTTTAGGCTATGTCGAATGTCTTGAATTCAGTTTTGTTATTTGAATGACATAGGTTGATCGTTGGAACCTAAATTCGTTACGATACATTGCTTGATGAAAATGTGAATCGACGATCCGACCGTTGGATCGTCACCAAACTTGGGTACATTATAATACATAATATTTAAAGATCATAGGAATTTACGGATCGGGAATCCGACTTACGGATCTTCCTGAATTGGATTTGTAAGTTAGTAAAATAAATGTTCACGGCCACTTGTTTTAGGCAATTGGCGGAGATCTGACCGTTGGATCGTAATGAAACTTTAATATGTTATTCTAGAAACATATTGTGGATCGTTGGGAGTTGCGGATTGGAAATCTGATATGCGGATCTTCCGGGTCAAATTATACAGGGTTGTAAACCCTACCGTCGATCTTTGATCGACGGTTGACTTGTGGTCAATGGGTCTCAAAATATTTTAGAATGTCGTTGAGGTTGTGTTTTATGTGAATTACATATTCTACGGATAAGACATCTGAGATGTGATTTGATAATTGGTCACAGGGACCAATCATTCAGGACGCCTCGATGCGTGCGCTAGAGAATCATAGCGTGGACTCCAGGTGAGTGCATCCTTTTCCATTTTATCGTACATATTATTAAGAGTTCTATCGACACCTTTAAATTGATTAGTCATATTACTTTCATATATAATTATTGTGAATGCTTGAAGTACTATGTGAACTACGAATGGCTTGATCCTTGTTTAGGGTACGTAGGCAGTCTAACGAGACGTTAGATGCAGCCATAAAATATTTGAGACAAAAGCCTTGCTTGGGAAATTGAGTAATGCGAAGGAAATTGGTAAAGACAAGTTTTAGTTTTGTGAATTAGTTAGTTAAATTAGAGTTAATTGGGTTGTCATGGGTAATTATCCCTGAAAATAAGTAGTTTGGGAGTAATGCGTTATTGATTGTACACTTCTCACTGTATTGTTTATAATTGAACACGCTACGACATGGTTGAGTATTAGATTGCATCATAGTATATCAATATGTATATTACTTGCATATAATTATTGGGAATGCTTTCAAGTGCAAAGGTGAACTCAGGACACCCAGGTAAGTTCAGGTGAGTTTATGGTACTAGTTGAATCGATTGCGTTATAGCATGACTACAGTTATGTGTTAGGCAACTTCGATACTATCGTACTGGTTGCCATGAGTTGCACATGTTATATTGAGATGCATTGAGAGCTCATAAACCTGCACCCCGGTGTTAGTGCTCCCGCCCGTGGCCAGGGCATAGTCCTTCACGTGATGTTCACCTCCCGCACCTTATGCTCACCTTGGATTCAAGGTAGGTGCACAGTCCTGTCGTACAGACCACTTTAGGTGGTTCCGACTCGTAGGTGACCCGCGATTATTCGCCCAGTCTTCACGTGATCGTAGCACTTGAGTTTATTTATTTACACTCAGTCCTGTCGTACAGACCACTTTAGGTGGTTCCGACTCGTGTGCAGGTATACTTATTGAGCTATTGGCTAGCCAGGATTGATGAGATATGGATAAGTCGTACAGGTCACTATAGGTGACTCCGACTTATATGCTAGCCAGGATTGACAGGATTGATGAGATATGGATAAGTCGTACAGGTCACTATAGGTGACTCCGACTTATATGCTAGCCAGGATTGATGAAATATGGATAAGTCGTACAGGTCCCTATAGGTGACTCCGACTTATATGCTAGCCAGGATTGACGAGATATGGATAAGTCGTACAGGTCCCTATAGGTGACTCCGACTTATATGCTAGCCAGGATTGACGAGATATGGATAAGTCGTACAGGTCACTATAGGTGACTCCGACTTATATGCTAGCCAGGATTGACGAGATATGGATAAGTCGTACAGGTCCCTATAGGTGACTCCGACTTATATGCTAGCCAGGATTGATGAGATATGGATAAGTCGTACAGGTCACTAGAGGTGACTCCGACTTATATGCTAGCCATGATTGATGAGATACGGATAAGTTGTACATGTCATTTTAGATGATTCTGACTGATATATCACTTTGTATTGATTTAGTTCATTTGGCCTACTTATTAATGTATGGTGGATTTGATGGCAAACCGTGGTTTTGGTCATTTCTGAGTATGGTTTGGATATATGTATATATGTTGTACTGTCTTATGGAAAACGATACGGGTTTTACATTTAGGGCATTACTTTTAGAGAGGTAATAACTTTGGGAAGCTTGGTTTTATTGCTTACTCACACCTTCTGTTTGGTGCCCTCCAGGTTTTAGCTGCTGAGTTTGTATCGACAAGAATCTGTGGTGAATCTTAGTATTAATGGATATTTCTGAGGGTATGATTCTTACCCACACTACTGTACCTTACTTATGCTCTGACATCGCGTGTGAAATGGGTTCACTCCCACTCATAGCGCACTCTGGTACTTAGACACTTTTAGATTCAAATTTATTCACTTTTTATACATTATCACATTTTATGGCTTCGTCACCTTCCAGGTGTCGGCCAGCACAGCTCGATTCAGGGTCCAAGTGGACTTTCTGGGTCGGGGTGTGTCAGCCAATATTTATAGTTGCTAATTGGACTAACATGACTAATTCAAACAAAAAAAGTCAACTAGTGGAAGAGAAAAAGAAGAAAAAAAAAAAAATATGCTATTGACATTAGGGATAAACATTTGACATATGATCAAAATGGATAGAAAATTGGATGAAAAATTCTAAAATCTAACGTTAGGAGGGAAATGGGCTAATTATAAAAATTTTGGGAAAGGAGAAGGGTGGGGTGGTTGGGGGGGGGGGGGGAGGGCGGATTAGCAACTTCTTACAAGTTCGGAAAGAAATCGACAAATACCTCAAACAATTATATAATGTAACAAAACATGTGATTGTTACATGGGTTTGTTTTTCTTTAGACCATCTCCAATTTTTGGGTTAAAACCTAAAACTTTATATTTTAATCTAGAAACAGTTTTTTTTGCTCTAATACTTCTCAAACCTAAATTTTGGTGGCCCAACCTTTTAACCCTGACCTAAATTCTAGGTTAAATTTGTCCAAATTTTAGGTTTTAACCCAAAACTTATTTTAGCCCAACCACTGAAGAAGAACTGAGTTAGTTATAAACCTAAATTTTAGGTTTTAATCCAAAAGTTGGAGATGATCTTAATCGAAAACTAAGGGGGATCATTTATGTTTGCTTTTTTTGGTACTATTTTCTTTCTTTTGGCTTGTCATTGCATGTTTGTGATAACTTATCACTCTCGTCATGTAAGCATCCAAGCTACAAGCTGATCCAAGCTGTGGACAGCTTGTTTAAAGAGAACTGCATTTAGCACGTTCTGTCTCCTTCATTTCATCCAATCCCAAGGTGATTTCATCCCCTTTCTCCTAAGTTGAAATCACGAAATGTGCTTTGAATAATAGTCAACATAATAGTGAGCGATGAAAGTCTGTGTCTCTCTATGCAATTATTCACTTTCAAAATTTTGTAAATTTTTAAGTGAATTTTAGACCATATTTATATTTAAGAAAATAAGTTATGCACACCATTCTGTCATTAGACTCAACTGATTAAAAGAATTAAAGGTACGCATTTAGCAATCGTGTGCAAAAGGTGGAAAAAATATGTAGAAATCACTCCCCTATAATTAAGATTTGTAAACAGATTAATCCAAAAAATTGGTAGACCAGCATACAGCTAGGGGTTGCACTCAAATGCTTGAAGCAAATGGTCAAATGAGTTGCTACATTTGTACACCTAATAAGCTTTCATTAGAGAGAATAATATTGTTTTAAGCAAATGTTTTAGCATATACAGATTTTTCACTCAACTTTATCCAAAACCATGACATAATTACCAAGATGACATCTTAATTATGGCCTTAGAATTACATTTTTAATATGCCAATAATGTATTGGCTTATAGATATGCAGCTCATATTTTATATAGATCGAGAAATCAAATCTCAAATTTTCTCTTCTTAAGTCGATGCTTTGAAGTGTAATTCTGTGTATATAGCATTATTTGCACTTGCATGAATGCATCGCAAAAGCACAGTGTTGCCCTCCCAAAATAGTGATGTTGATTTCTTCGTATATTTTCTTATATTTTCCTAAATTGTGCTAGTGTGTGACTATGATGTTATCCGGAAAGACTTATATGACACAAATACATTGTTACAGCGACGTTTCATGTAAATAAAACAAAGATATGTGTAATTTTTTGTCCAAATATTATTGTTTTACCGACACGGTAGCTATGTGAAGGTGTATTTATACAATGTAAATTGGTCTAATTGTTAGCATGGTCATGTAGAGGTGATAAGACTGATAAGACATTAAAAAGGAAGTAATAATTACGTGCTGATGGAGGAAAGTTTCGACTTACAAAATGTCCTGCTCCAAGAATCCAATAAAAGTGCAGGTTTTTGTAGGACCTGGTGAACCCTCTTGTAATTTCCTCTTGGCCACAATAAAGAGGGGTTCTACTCTTGTTCAAGAAATGTGGGAGTCCTTCCCACCTGAACAACAAAATGGAAAAAATCACCACCCACATGAGAGAGAGAGAGAGAGAGAGAGAGAGAGAGAGAGAGAGAGAGTACTTGAGCTTTTCAACCCATGCTTCAGTCCCCTTGGTTGCACATATGAGATCAACCTACAACATCAACCAAGTCATGTCAAAATTAGCTCGTCTGCACAAATCCAACAGCATCCAATTCTTCATTATAATTAACTTTAAATAGCTAGTGATATTTGTTTTCGGTCTAAAAATTTGATAAGAGAAGAGAAATACTGTGAAAAATTGAAGAAAGTGTATTTTTCATTATTGAAGAACGAGATCACAACACAAGCCTTTAAGTGGCAATAACTAAGAAACAATCTCCCTTGATTTAAGGAGACATACACTACAAAGTCAACAAGAGAGACCTACGGTCTGCGGGCTGCTGAAGGTGAGAGAAAGGACTTGTACTACTGCTATGTTAGTCAAGCATATACAATAACGAGGGGAGAAAAAGTTTACAACCTTTACGAAGTTTACAACCAGCAAAACAAACTAACTCATCCAATAAATACAGCAGAATGTAGCAATTTTTTTTTAATTATTTTGGAATGTACAATTAATATCGCTAACACATATCTTAATTCTAGAACGGATCTGTCAGTTTTCTATTCGCTAGTCCTATTTTTTTTTTAATAATATTAAACTGTTGGATATTGCTGTTTAAAATGAAAGCAACGTTGAGAAAAAACTTACTTGCCCATTGTATATTGTGACATTGACCCCTTTAGCAAGGAGTTCATCAACCTATGTGAAGAGAAAAGGGAAGTCAAAGGAAAATTAAAAGTTGGCACAACATAAGATTCTTTCAAGACAATTAAGAAATACGGTAGAGCAATCAAAAATTCGATTTCCTTGCTGATAAAATACTCAATTAGGCAAAAGGTATCTAATAAAAAAGAATAACTGGAAGAAGAGACTTCGATTTCTCTATTCGATTCCTACAAGATAAAATTAACTCGAACTTTAGGTGTAGAGAGAAATCACATCGTTTTAGCCGATTTTGTTAGATTTTGGTAACATTTTCTTAGTTTTCACGACTTGTCTCCTAATCTCATCCACTCCTAAGCTTCCTAAACTTTTGATTAAATGTACACCACAACTATCTTATTATATTGTATTTCTGCTCTTCTGGATTAGAAAAATTATTACCTCATTAATCCTTGGGTTCATAAATTCGCCTGCCATGGCTGGGAAGACCTTATCAGACTGCCCTCCCCATCTGCAAACCCAAAAAATATACACCATTTACGGATTACAAGCATTTTTAACCGTAAAAACTAAAAGAGAACTGTTGTTGGCGTTGCAAAAAAATGATTCTATTTTCAACTGATAATGTATTTAAAACAAAACATAGTGAAAAGAGTATATATACTCACGTCACATTATCTGGGATTATCTCAAGCTTCTTTTTAATGACACCATTTAACAAAGAACCAAGATGACCTTTACCGCCACCTGCTGAAGACCTTAAAGAACTTAGGTATATTGAATATTTTTCGATTCCTTGGTTATAGCGATTTGATGCCAAGGATGAAACTGGATCCATTCCTGAATCCAACAGAAAATTATAGAAATCCTGCAAATGTCACAAATCCAATATGTAAATGAAATCAGAAAATGTGAGTTTTAATTGAGTTTCAGTCACAAATAATAGTAAATTAATATGAAAATTAAATTAAAATTTAAAAAAATTACCACAGCATTGCTGCTAGACATGATGCCTTGCTCAAGCTCCCTCCATGAATTGGTTGCGTCCACTAATTGACCATCCCGAATCTGTTGCTTAATTCTTTGAGCCACATTATTTGATTCCTGTAATCCATTGTCGTCAAGCCTTGACACGTCTTTGAGCAGAGGACCCCAAGAAAGCTGCAAGTGTACAAAAATAAATTATCGATAACTAAATGTAATTACACATTAACGGAAATTTGTCAATAGCACTATATAATCTTTTAATAAAATTTTAGAGTTCGACTTCCATAAATGACGAGTTTAATACAAATTGATTCCCATTATGTGACTTAAATCGAAGAACCCTATCTACGCCCAATATGGTTGTATTTAAAAGACAATATAATGCATGGAAGTAAAATTAGTGGGTCAACAGCAGTTAGAAGTATGGTAACTTACCACAAAATCTTCCGGAGAGATCCAACTGTCTCCCAATGCCACTCCTACAAAAACAACCAAATAATTCAAAGGAAAAAAAATATACATTTTAAGATGTTGGTATTTTTAATTAGACCAATTAATAATTAAAAATTGATTAAATTAATTTACTTACCTCCAAGTCTAAGTTTTAGCTTTCCTTGTTGAATGGCTTTAAGAGCTGAAAGTCCAAGAGTGACTGCAAATTTGCCTCCATAGGACTCTGCCACAATGAACAGAGGACTCTTTTGGAGGCTCTCATTTCTGTTGAAAAGCTCCACCAGCAATGTTGTCAAATCAGCAGCTGCCTCCAAATCATTTTTCACAAACAGAGATGTGTCTTCCACAAAACTGTATCCAGTCCCAACAGGGTTGTCCTGAATTACCCAGAAAAATCAGAAGAAATTTAAATTCATATGATTAATAAAACTCGAAAGAAGGAAACAGAGTTGGAAGTTTTGTATGAACTTACAACAAATAAAAGATCAGCTTTTTGCAACCAGGTTGAGTTTCTTGGGTTCAAATTTGTGTCCAATGGTCCAATCTCTTGAAAATTCCCCATCCCCACTCCTGAACCTCCCTATTTTTTTTGAAAAAGTAATCAATGAAAACAATATAAAGTTTAAAAAAAAAAAAAAAAAAGGGTTGTTCATATTATTTGATTTGATATAGTTTGGTGATACTCACAGGTCCACCCTGAAGCCAGAGAATGGTTGGCCATGGCTTGGAGGGATCCTCAACTCTGTTGGGACTTCTATAGAGCCACCAGAACATGTGGGCTTCTGTTTAAAAACAATACCAAAACAAAAATTCCATGAACATTAAAATTAACATTTCTGGCTTCAATACAGAAAGAATTTAGATATTGTGCATGTGAGTGAATTGCTTACTGGGTCTGACTTCAACATAGCCCCACTCCTCTGATCCATCTATGGTTCCTGCAGCAGCCGCTGTTTTTGCAGTTCCTCCATGAAAAAGTGGTACAAAAAGGAGAAGAGAGACGGAAAGTATTACAGAAAGCTTTTCCATTGTTGGGAGAGCAAATACTGGAGAGAGAGAGAGAGAGAGAGAGAGAGAGAGCAACTTCTTAACTTGCTGGGGAATAAAGCATGCAGTAGAAGGAGATTTTATATGTACAGAGACTACTGAAGATTAATATTAGCAACAAAAAGCTTACCTTGTCTTTGTCTAACAGAAAATAAATTTAAGTAAATTTATTTATATTATATAACATGTTTATTTTTCTAGAAAAAGACATTTCAACCCCTATTCCGTTTCTCTCTCCGTCTTGATTCTCCATCTTTGGTTTCATCTCTTCTCGCCTTCTACATCGACTGCCACGGCTTCTCCACCAACCGCCACCGTCTCTCTCTCTTCATCCCTAATAAACGACATGATGACACTTTTTAGGCGTCATAGAATTGTTTTTATGGCATTTGACCAATGCCCTAAATCTATCTCTCTCTTCGAATCTGAAATTTTTCTTCGGAGTTCATTCGCACATGCCCTCATAATTTCTAGCTATCTTCTGCAAAGGAACCGAAATGTAGAGGAATTGAAATTTTGCACTCTCTTTGAATTGAAATTCCTTGACTCTTGAAATCCTGACTGTGGTGGCCATTTTCCCCCCAAAAATCAATTCAAATAAGCTTGAATTTACCTGATTAGGTTTGATTACTCTGCATATCATTCTATGCATATGATATCGTCTAATATTGGATTACAATCATGGTGATTGCAAATTTTGGGTTTGTTTTATTAGATTAGGTTCCATCCAATTTTCAAGGCTCATTGTAGTGCATTTGGAATGTTTTAGAAAGTTTGGGAATCTGTATATTTTTCAAAAAAATTGTTTTATTATTTTAGGTTCCATCCAATCATCTATTTTGTCCTCTTGGCGGTGGAAACAGGACAATGGAATTGTACTGGGTGGGAAAACATGATTTTATATTTTTAACCTTTTATGGTGGGTGTGATTATAATGTTGGTGAGGAAATCAGATAATGGCGTGGGTTTATCATCATTCTTATTTATTGAGTGTTATTCGAGTATCCAACAAGTCTTTGTATTTTATTAAAAAAATAAAATGCAAAGATTGAAGCTACTTATTTTTTGTATAAGTGAGAGTCACGACTAGGTGGATGTCTAAGCAGGTCTAGGCGCTCTTTCTTGATTTTCAAATGCCCAAAGATTAATAAGAGCGGTGCCTAGCTGCCTAGCGTCTAGGCGGGGATTTTTAAAAGTGTTGGAAATAAGTAGCAGCATATTGTTTCTATGATATATAATAACTTTCAGAATTTTTTTTAGAAGCGGTCAATCAGTAAAATCAAAGAAAAGATTTTGTTATTTAATTTCTTGTTATAGCAAGTGCGACTTTCCCTATGCATGTACATAGTCACGGTGCATTCGTTTGGCTCTTAATATACACGGTGAATTCTCATAAAAAGTGTATGTGTGGATTACAAAAATCAACTATGTACTTGATCAAATAAGAAACCATAAGTAAGATGCACACCGATTAATCCGACTTTGGACCAGACTATTACTCTTATACGTATACCCCAAATTCTCTACCATATCTACAAAGGCCAAATGAGTGTGTTAGATTGCGAGTGTGCCATTATTTGGTAGTGTATACATGTAAATACTAGATTGAATTGATGTTAAAAATATTAGAAATTCCGGAAGATAGGTAGATTACAGGGTCTCTCCCCTGCACTCTAAATACCTTTTTGTGCAGTTTTGTATGTTTTTATAGAAACTAATGATAGAGTCACAAATCTTGGTTTGTCAAGGATTAAAATGGAGAAACCCCTTATATTTATTTACACCTTTATGGATAATACTTGCATTTCCTAATATGGAAATGCACATATCCCACTCCTTGCCGTAAATATAGAAATTTCATGTGCAAAAAACACTTAGAACGAGATCATAAGTTCAACTTTAGGTTCCATATTAATAATTATCATTTCTAAGTCTGCACAAACCCCACCACCATCATCGCAGCAATCACCACCACCTTGTCACCAACCACTACCATCTCTGCCACCACCTTCCATGACCAATGACCATGACCATCACCACCTTCTCGTGGCCATTACCACCATCACTACTGCTACGACCTTTCCACCACCACCACTAACCATCATCACAACCACTAGCCCTATCACAAATTTGCCAAATACTATCTCTCATTTATAAATCGAATCAAACACTCTATAGTCTATATCCAAAGGTAATAAATATGGTGGAGCTAATCACCATCACTTGAGGGTGGTGAGAAAAAAAATATCCCTTTTGTGGAAACACGTTTTGCTCACTGTTGAATATTTTACGAATGACCATATTTTCATAATATTGAATATTTTTTCGAATGATCATATATGAATATAGGGCATAGTTCGACGACGAAATCCATGTATAGTTGGGTTCTTGCACAAGGTTTATTTATTTATGTTTTTAATATTTATTTATACGTTCATAATTTATTGTTGCCTATCCTGCACAAGATGAACAGCTTCCCCAACGTTGCAAAAGGACTTACTGCCAAATGTTTTAAACATTTAATTTGGCTTGTAGCTGAAAATTGTTGGATGATTGACATGTTTAAAAGATATAGGAAGTCTCAATCGAATTGACACCTATTTTTCTTGGAATCTATTGGGTCAAGTTTTATTGTCTTCTCAAGGTGAACCGAACAGATTAAAAATAAAGAAAGGTTGGCAACAATTTCAGAATGGAACTGTTTATTGACACTTCAAAAAAGACGTCTTACATGTATAAAAAGTGTGCATGATAACAATTTGTAAGTGTAAATAATAGTATCTTTTCAGAATCTATTTATTTGATTATTTACATTGATTCACATTTACACCACATATATACATAGAGGTTATAGGTAGCAAACTCCCATGCATGGAGAGGCCATCCTATAAGCTCATCCTACTTTTAGTTGCCTCTTAAGCAACAATGCTTCTGAATAATTCATGGCCAAAGAAACAATTTGAGAAAATTGCATAAGATATGTTAAATTTCTGAAATAGAAATGCTGCCTGGACAAGTTTTATTGTCACAGGTAGTTTGGGCACTGAAGAAAAATGTATGGTGAAACATCACTTGTGCAACAACCATAGAGATTCGGCTAAGAAAAATGGACCTTCACTTGTGCAACAACCATAGAAATTCGGCTAAGAAAAATGGACCTCACTTTGGACCACTACTTTAGGTAAATGGAGCTATCATGGACATTCAAGTTTCCCTCAAAAGAAATATCAAGGGAGAAGTGAACAAAAATTTGGTGACTTATCTGCAAGTTTTACTTCCACATAAGATTTCTGTTTCGGAAAACCTGCTGGCTAAGCAAGATATTTAGCATTTTTAGCCAACTCATTGCCCATACGTTTTTTTTTAATCTAATGTGTCAGGCGATAAAATTCTTGTTTGTGTTTGTTGTATATGTAAACTTCCTTTTCTAATATGTGGAAATCTATTATATTATATGGTTGAATTCAATCGTATGCCGTGATCAGAGAAATAAAGCGAGTTATGTAATTGGAGGATATTCATATGATATCATTGCCCTAAGGATGGAGGGTGTTTAATTTTTTAGGATTTCCCTTGAAAGGAATGAATAGTTAAAAACAATTACGGGAGAAGATGCTAATCAAGTTAATTATTGCTAGAAATTTCTAAATTGTGGATGATTATATTGTTGTTCAAACACATGGTCCCAATTGAGTCCTCTAAATAATGAGTGGGCAAAAGCATTATAGAGTTTCGTTATTGGTCTTGGCGATTGAGAATTTATGGTTATTGAATTTGATATTATGGGTTGAGATTAAAGCATTATAAACACATTCGTATATTTTTCACCAAACACACTTGAGTTTGAATTTTTTTTAATGAAAGGATGATAATGGATTAGGCGAGACGAACTACACATAAGACTTGGTTGTTGGACTATAGTAGTAGTCTTACTCTCTAAACCAGCACAAGGTGGTAAGAAAGAACCAATACCCTAGAAATCGCCATCAACTACAAAGTAGACTACCTTCTCATACAGAGTAACTAAAAAGGGCTAACTCCCCCATAAAATTCAATATATAAACGAATATGCATTTCTTAATCACCGGTGAAGAAGATAACATTTCTATATCATGATATGGATTACACGTTTGGTGTACTGTACGGTTTTAGCTGTCCACGCAAGGGACAGATAATGTGAAGTGAACTATGATTCTTCTAGCAAGCAGCATGCATATATAATTTGCATTCTCCTCTCTCTCTCTTTCTCTCTGCAGACCCATCAGATCATCATATAGGACAGACACAACCACCCTGAAGGTGCATAAGATCTTAACTATATATAGGCATGATTAATGTATATTAATCAAATTCTCCCATGTGCTCATACACATCTGACAGCGCATGTGGTTCATTGTTTAATTCCTATGTATGTGGGCATACTTAGAAGACAATTGGCTTTGTGAAGGTTCGCGTAAGGCCGGCTGTAAACAAAAAAGAGATCTTCAAGCCCAGTCATCCTCTCAGAGCATCCTAACACTATGTCCAACTTCCTCCAACTTCGTTGAGGATTAGTGAATTATTGGGTTCTTGACAAAAAAAAAAAAAAGTTGGATTATTGAGCTCGTCCAACTTCGCCTTCAATCTTCACTTTCTACCCACTTTACACAACTTAGTTTTTCACTCAAACGTACCCTGAGGTAACGAAAGAACCTTGGCCCAACGGAGATTCCTATTTTGCCCACAATCACTTAATCTAGAAGCTGAACTTGCCACAAGAATATTATGGTTTCATGATATTCTTCTTCACTTGTAAGTGAGAGGTCTGATAGTCAAATTTAACCAAATTATTATAGCAATTTCACTGTGAGATTTAGTCCACTTTCCCATTCGTTAGCTTACATAACTAGCCTGAAAATCAACATAGGGCTGAAAGTTAAGGCCTTGCTCACCACTCTATTTATCATTGTTGGATAAGTTTAAACTTCAAAATATGTGTAGTGAATAGACAAAAATCTCAAAATTTAAACTCATCCAATAGTACTAAGTAGGGTGGTGAGCATTACCACTACTTAAGGATGATGAGCAAAAATGCACTTGTGAAGCATGCTACACATAGTGAGAAGTTTGAAAAATTAAAAGGTTATAATCCAATAAAGAAAATCTGGTATCCATTCTATTTATTATTTATATAAGAGATATTTTAAACTAATTTACACAACGAGAAGAAAAAAGAGTTTGATTAAAGAAAATACCCTAACTATAAAAAACAATTCACCACTTGCAAGTAATGATTCTATTATTTATTTATTTATTTTGAATGTGAATCTATTCTTTTTATTAAGGGATCCAAGAGTCTGTCATAGAGCTGAGCACGGGCCTGGTCGGGCCGAGCCCAAAAATGAAAGGACTGAACTTTACCCGTTTAGAAATACAACAAGGTGGGGGTGGGGCGGGGCATTACAAAATTGACATAGGAACCGAACCTAATCTGGCCCATTTGAAACGGGCTGATTCCTACGGTTTCCCGTTCCTTTCCTGATGCAAATTGCACCTGAAAAATCTGAAGGCTGCTTTGAAGGCAGCGTGAGTAATGCTTCTGTTGCGTAGCGTGAGAACAAGCACATCACCTAACCAACCTCGAAGAGTTTGAAATCCAGTCAAACACAAAACTAAAGAGTGAAAGCAGAAAAGAAATAGTCTAATCCAATTGGGAAATTTGATCAAAATCCATGTTTGGCGCAGAGGGTTGGGATTAAAGATTCCCAATCCTTATCAAAGTCAATAAATTTAAATAGAATCCACATAACAAGGACAACACTAACAAATGGAACCGGATCCCTTCCGGACCTAAAGGAACTGAGCCCAAAGATCAAATAACTCAGACCATTGAAATTTGATCCAACGGCTACAATTATTATAACTTTTAGAAGGACCTCCTGTTTGTAGCCGTTGGATCAAATTTTAATGGCTAGGATCATTTGATCCTTAGGCTCAGATTTTTTGGATCCAGAAGGGATCCAGTTCCCTAACAAATACCCAGATTGCTCAAACGAACAGACAGAGTTCGATGATAGATTGACGACGAACAGATCGACGATGAATGTAAAGGAGCTCCACTGCACTGTATCATGGCTTATTGTTTCCTTTTTCTTTTTTCATTATCCTACTTCTTAGTCCGACACTGCATCAAACACTTCCTTAAGTTAGTCCAGCTTAGTCTATTCTAAGTCAGTCCAACTTAGCCTATTCTAAACCAGTCCAGCTTAGTCTTTGATGCTAGTCCAGTTCGGGATAATCCATAGCAACCAACACACCCTAGGGGTACGTTTGTTACACCTCATTAAGAAGGATTAGGAGGAACTGGCTTAAGCAGGATCATAATCCTACGTTTGGTGTGGTTTTGGGCTTGGAGTAAATGAGACTCGTCTTAACTAAAGGCTCTCCGCACTTCACTAAACCTCAGTATCTAGTCCCAAAGCTTTCACTTGGTATTAAGCGGGACTAACAAGGAAACGACGTCGACGACCTCAGCCCACCCCTTCTGCGCATGAGTCTCTTTCGTCACAAATCCAAGGTCAACTCTGCAGATTGCGTCTTGTCGTGGAAGAACGATTCTAAGGTCGATTACAAGGGAATTTTCCCCCGCATCCCCCAAAACTAATTCCCACCACTATGGTGGTGCAGCCAAACCTCTACTGGAGGGAAACGGCGGTTCCAGCTCCAAAAATTTTCTAGGAGGCACTACCGTTGGTGCTGGGTTTGTGCTAGCTTGCAGAATATGATATTTCTGGTTCTCTCTATTTCAGAATTGGTTATTTTTGGGTCGATTTGATAGAAACCATTTGGGTGTTTCTTCATACAGTTGTTCAATCTACAGAGAACAATTTACATCTGGGTATTTCTTGAATAGAGAAGCAATGAATTGCTGGGAGTGGAAGAGGAAATAAAAAGGATGCTGGGAGTGGTTCTTGAACATATAACTAATTTAATTTGGTTTTTAAAAATTATAGTAACTACAAAATAATATTATAATACAAAATTAATATTTTTTGTCCTGCTTATTAGTTTGACGCTATATCAAGCGCTTCACAATTCTTATATTGCTAATCTAACTTAGAACATGAAGTCAGTTCAATTCGACATAATCTTGGTTCAACAAACGTGCTCTAAATGCATGAATAAATTACTTTTAATAATTTGAGTTACAAATCTCTTGCGTTTCGTAAATTTTTCTTGTTTGCTTTCACATAATAATTTATGTAAAGCGATCGAATTCGGGGATATTCAAGCCCTTAACTGCACAAATGCACTCAATTATATTTCTGAGTAGGAATATTGGCCTATCCTACAAGATTTTAAACTTAAAAAAAACTTCAAAATCATATACATTATCTGCAATTTTGTATTAAATTAAACACTCTCTATATAAATTGTACTATCACATTACACAATGTTTTTATGTGTGCGCAGAAGTTTGAGGTATCCCACATTCTAATGGGTTAATCTTTCATGGGGTCCGAAAAGACTAAAGGCATTTTAGCCTATCCTTGGCTACACGTCCTCTCAAAGTTTTCAACCAATGAATCATCCGTGTTTTTATCAGTTTTGTGCCTCAAATCCAAAACGACTGAGCAAACTTGACTTGGAATTCTACGCATTTTCATTGAACCACTTTTCGTGGTGTCACATTATACAATATTCGATCCATACATCCTGGGACCACGAGTATTCTCCTGAACCAAAACAAATTATATTTTAGGTATGGAAAAAATTCCTCCATGACAAATAATCCATTTACAATATGACTTAGCACATCACATAGTAAAAAAAAAAAAAAAAAAACACTTGAAAATAATAATAATAAATTACTTAGATGTACAGAAAAATTAGTTTATTTGGCAAGCCTAAAGCCACTGGGATCCCTAATTGCACGTGGAATACAGGTTCTTCTGTCGTAGTTCCTACTTCTCCTTTCATATATCGGAAAGGCTTCCCCGCCCAAACTTCGGCTTCCCCGACTCTCTCTGTGCTTCTACAAAAAGACGCAACGCTGCTAAGAGACGAATCAAAAGTTTCGTAACTCCCAATTAACACAAACCAGTCTCTCCCAATCCAACGGTCCTAACCCCTCCCCCTAGCTCCAACCCGCCCATCCACCCTCTTATCACAACCGTCCGTTACAGAAAAACCTTGTCCTTTTCTGTGGCCACCCTAGCGTTTATCTCCCCACCCACATTTAAAAATGGTATGCTGTAATGTTTTGTCCTTTTCATATAATTCACATTCTTCTGCTGATAAATCGTATGTTACTCTTTCAGAAGATTTTAAGCTCTCTCTCTCTCTCTCTCTCTCTCTCTCTCTCTCTTGTTTGAAACGTTTACGAGGAAACGAGAGCTGGAACCTATCTAGCATTATTGTCTTGATTATCTTTTCGGCTTACCCCATCGTTTTTTTCTTGGCATCCGAACAGGCAATGTTGGTACCTTCGTGGCTTGAATCATTGTTGTCGACAGCCTTCTTCTCCATCTGCCGGTGGCACAAAGATGGTCCGAGAGGCGAATGCAACATGTACTGCTTAGATTGCAACAATGGCGCATTCTGCTCTTATTGTAAATCATCAAGACACAAAGATCACCAAGTAATTCAGGTAATTAGGCATAAACATATTTCAGTTCAGTTTTTTGTCTTTTTTTAATTTTCAATTGTGTATAAATGAATTTTTTTTTCTTTTTGTGGGGGTGTGGAAATCGTAATGCAGATCAGACGGTCGTCGTATCACGATGTTGTGAGGGTGTCTGAGATTCAGAAGGTGTTAGACATCAGTGGAGTTCAGACTTATGTGATAAACAGTGCGAGAGTGTTGTTTCTTAACCAGAGACCTCAGCCTAAAACAGCCGTTAAAGGGGGCTCACATATCTGTGAAATATGTACGAGATGTCTCTGGGATCCTGTTCGTTTTTGTTCATTGGGATGCAAGGTTAGATTTTTACTCTTCTTTTTCTTTTCCCCATTAAATTTTAAGTCAATTTTAACAAAACTTCCATATGTATAATCAACTAAGACATTGCATTCTTACCTGTCAATGAGACCTCTCTTAGCTAGAAGTCATTGTGACTGAAATGTGCACGAGAATAACAATGTAGGCCTTTGCCGATGACAATTTGATATAGTTGCGATTAGTCTTTACTTTGTCGGAGGTGGTCCTGAGTGTTCAACACTCAACGACAAGAGTTTGTTTATGCTATCGAATGTAATAACAATGGTGGTATATAATTTTTTTTGTTCCAATTCGGTTGATGATGTTGACTTAACAATTAATCCATATATATATATATATATATATTCTTGATTTTGACATTAGCTTGAGGGACTAAAGAAGAAGGGGGTGTTAAATGAGATCAGTGCATCAGTATGCACATGCAGTGCAGATTCCTTGTCGGCAAGCATGGGATGACATGTAGTGCAGATTCCTTGTCGACAAGCATGGGTTGAGATCAGTATGCACATGCAGTGCAGATTCCTAGTCCGCAAGCATGGGTGTATATAAAACTAGAGTCATCATTGTCATAAAGGAAGGACAGCAGGAGGACATTTTATTATTGCTTGGTATTGCATCCGAGTGTTGTTGTTGTGCTGCTGCATGTGTAGCGTGCAATTACTTGTAGTTTTAAATTGTAAAGTTTGTATGTTGTAGTGTATATAAAAAGCCTTCCCATAAGGCCTGCTGTGGGGATGATTAATTATTGAAATCAGAAACTTTACATGGTATTGAGCCTTTTTTTTTGTCTAACGACATCGATTCTCCTTTTCTTCCCACGCTTCAATGGCTGAGAACAATGTTGTCCCCTCCTCCTCTGCTTTCAACCAGACTTCCCCTCATCCGTTCCACCCCTTCACCACTGTCGTTAACATCAAACTTGACAGGACCAACTACCCACTGTGGTTGGCCCAAATTCTCCCAATACTCAAGAGCAGAGATCTGATGGGATATGTTGATGGAACGATGGAGTCTCCTCCCAAGCATCTGCCGGGTGTAACAACTGTGAACCCTGCGTACACTGCATGGGTCCAACAGGATCAAATGATCCTTAGTTGGATCAATGGCTCGTTGACGGCTTCTGTCCTGTCTATCGTGGCAAGCAAGAGGACTTCTCGAGCCACCTGGGAAGCACTCGAGCAACGATATGCCTCTACTTCACAAAACAGGATTTTGTTTCTGCGAAATGAATTATTGCAGACGAAGAAAGGTGATCTTACTGTGGCCGATTACCTTGATCGCATGAATGCGATTGCTGACAACCTTGCCCTAGCAGGGCAACCAGTGTGTGATGATGAACTGGTCCAGATTGTGTTAAACAACCTAGGACCTGCCTTCGAGATGACTGTCAGTGCTGCTCAAGCTCGTGATTCTCCAATCACTTACCCTACTCTTGAGGCACTGTTGTTAACTACTGAGCGTAGAATGGCTGCGTACACTGCTCCATTGGTAGAATCTGCGCAGGTCAATGCTTTTGTTGCTTCTCGTGGTCGAGGTGGTGGCCGCACTCGAGGGACTGGGAGAGGTGCTTCTTCATCCTATCGAGGTAATGTGTTCAACCAACGAGGCAATGGCCCTCGAACCAACAACAACTCTCGCACCATGCCATGCAGCGGAGAGCGGGTTGTCTCTAATGGTGAGAGAATTGTTTGTCAAATCTGTGGCAAACCAGGTCATCCGGCCCTTGATTGTTACAATAGGATGAATGCTGCGTTTGAAGGAAGAATTCCCACTCAACGCCTTGCAGCCATGACGTCTGCTCCTGTCACTCTCAACAAACAACAGAATGGTACCTGGCTGTTGGACACTGGCGCAAATGCTCATATAACTCCTGAGATTCAGAACCTTGTTAACCCTAAAGAGTATAATGGTAATGAAGCTATTGGGGGTGTAGGTACTGGCTCTGGCATTTCTATCTCTCATTCTGGTTCAAATAAATTACATACTCCAACTTGCTCGTTTGACATGCATAATATCCTTCATTGTCCCTCTGCCTCCCAAAATATACTTTCTGCGCATAAGTTCATTTTGGATAACAATTGCTATCTTCTAATCTTTCCCTATTATTTCCTTGTTAAGGACCTCAAGACTCGGAAGACGCTTTTCCGAGGGAGATGTGAGAATGGATTATATCCATTTCCATGTGGCACTGGACAACTCAAACATCCAATTTCAGCATTTGTAGGCCTTCGGTGTTCGGTGAATACATGGCATGCAAGACTTGGTCACCCTGCCACTTCTATAATTAAGTTTTTAATTTCCAATAAATTGGTACCAATTCACGGAACTTCAAATGTAAGTTTTTGTCAGTCGTGTCCCTTAGGCAAGAGTACAAAGTTACCTTTCAAATTGTCTGAGTCAATGTCTCAATTTCCTTTGCAACTTCTACACTCTGATGTGTGGTGTTCTCCCATTAATTCTAATGAAGGTTTTCGTTATTACGTTTTGTTTGTGGATGACTACTCTCGTTATTCTTGGATCTTTCCTATGAAAAACAAGAGTGAAGTGTTTGAAATCTTTGTTACATTTAAGGCCAAAGTTGAAAAAATGTTTGATTTGTCCATTAAAACCCTTCAATGTGATGAAGGTGGCGAGTATAAAAGCCATGCCTTTCAAAAATTTCTCAATGATAATGGCATTTCACAACGATTTTCTTGTCCTAAACACCCTGAACAGAATGGAATTGCCGAGAGAAAACATCGACACATTATTGAAACAAGTATAGTCATGCTTTCACAATCTCATATGCCCAAAAATTTTTGGTTTGATGCCTCTTCCACGGCAGTTTACTTGATAAATCGTTTGCCAACTAAACTTTTGTCTTACGCATCCCCTTATGAGAAACTTTTTCAAAAAAAACCAAAGTATGATGTTTTAAAGGTGTTTGGTTGTCGATGCTTTCCTTGGTTAGTGCCTTATACACAAAATAAACTTCAACAAAAATCCAAAGCTTGTGTTTTCTTGGGTTATTCACTGAATCATCAGGGCTACAAGTGCTTGGATCTGTCTACAAGACGCATTTATGTGTCTCGCCATGTCCTATTCGATGAGGACTGCTTCCCTTTTCAGGGACTCACATCTTCTTCAGAAAGCGTCCCATCTTTAGGTACCCTTCTGACCCCAGATCTCTTATTAACATTTGACACCCCTAGCAGATCTAGTTTGCATCAACCACTTAACCCTAATCCTGTTGTCTCATCTCTTTCCCAAGACGTTAACCCTAATCCAACCACTCTTGCCACAGGACTCTCTCCAACTGACACCCATCCTAACCCTATTTCATCTCAACCTTGCCCTACAATACCTGTGCCATCCCCTACTATCCAGTCTGTTGCACCATCAAATGAGCAAGTCGGTGAACATTTTGAACCTGTGCTCCCTGCTACTCCTGATGTTCCACACTATCAAGTTACTACTCGTTCCAAGTCAGGGATTCATAAACCCAATCCCAAATATGCCATGCATTTAACTGTTGACACGTTACCTGTTGAACCAACGTGTTTCAGTCAAGCTGTTAAGTATCCGGAGTGGAGAAATGCGATGAGTCAAGAATTTAATGCATTGCAGCGATGTGGAACTTGGAGTTTGGTTCCCCATCATTCCAACATGAATTTGCTTCCTAACAAGTGGGTGTTTAAGTTGAAGAGACGTGCAGATGGTACGATTGAACGACATAAAGCAAGGCTTGTCGCCAATGGTTTTCATCAACAGGCTGGAGTGGATTACAGTGAGACCTTTAGTCCTGTTGTCAAGCACAGTACGATCAGGCTTGTTTTAAGTCTTGCTGTGTCTAACAAATGGCATGTCAGGCAGCTTGACGTGCAAAATGCGTTTCTGCATGGGTTTCTGAAGGAAGAAGTTTACATGCGCCAGCCGCGGGGGTTTGTTGATCAGCAATTCCCAAATCATGTGTGTAAACTTCAACGTAGTCTTTATGGTTTGAAGCAAGCGCCCAGGGCTTGGTTTCAGAGGTTCTCCGATTTTTTGCTCGAACTAGGGTTCCAGGAATCCACATGCGACTACAGTTTATTTGTGTTCAGACACAACGGTGTGTATTTACTTCTCCTAATCTATGTGGATGACATACTCATCACAGGCAATAGTTCTCACCAAATATCCCGATTGATTCAGCGCTTGGGTACGTTGTTCTCCATGAAAGACTTAGGAACCCTTCATTATTTTTTAGGGGTTGAAGTCAACTATTATGGGACTGCTATGCATCTCTGTCAATCTAAATATGCATTGGACTTGCTATCTCGCACCAAATTCACTGAAGCCAAGCCTATATCTACTCCCGTCTCATCCGGTCAAAAGCTCAGTGCGCATGGGGGCGAACTGTATGACAAACCAGATGTGTATCGTAGTGTGGTTGGAGCACTACAATACCTGACAATTACACGCCCAGATTTGTCCTATGCTGTCAACCAAGTATGCCAGTTTATGCATGCTCCCCAAACAACTCACTGGATGGCCGTCAAACGGATTTTACGATATTTGAAGGCCACGCATACTCATGGTCTACTCTATAATCCTGGACCTACTCAACTCAGTGCTTTCTCTGATGCGGATTATGCAGGGAATCCGGATACTCGTCATTCAACTGGAGGCTTTTGTATATATCTTGGTTCCAACCTTATATCCTGGAGTTCAAAGAAGCAGAAGACTGTTTCTCGGTCTAGTGCTGAAGCCGAGTACAGGCAGTTGGCATACACTGCGGCTGAGCTCTCTTGGTTAAGATCATTATTCAAAGATCTGCATTTGTATTTGGTTCGTCCTCAAATCTGGTGTGACAATATATCTTCCATCGCTCTCGCATCTAATCCAGTTTTTCATGCACGAACTAAACACTTGGAAGTTGACTATCACTATGTACGGGAGCAGGTGGTTCGTGGGCAATTATTGGTTAATTATCTTTGTTCGCAAGATCAACTTGCTGACTTGTTTACCAAAGGTCTGTCTTCGTCTCGGTTTAAGTTCCTTGTCTCCAAGCTTCCTGTTGTTCCACAACCTGTCAGCTTGCGGGGGGCTGTTAAATGAGATCAGTGCATCAGTATGCACATGCAGTGCAGATTCCTTGTCGGCAAGCATGGGATGACATGTAGTGCAGATTCCTTGTCGACAAGCATGGGTTGAGATCAGTATGCACATGCAGTGCAGATTCCTAGTCCGCAAGCATGGGTGTATATAAAACTAGAGTCATCATTGTCATAAAGGAAGGACAGCAGGAGGACATTTTATTATTGCTTGGTATTGCATCCGAGTGTTGTTGTTGTGCTGCTGCATGTGTAGCGTGCAATTACTTGTAGTTTTAAATTGTAAAGTTTGTATGTTGTAGTGTATATAAAAAGCCTTCCCATAAGGCCTGCTGTGGGGATGATTAATTATTGAAATCAGAAACTTTACAGGGGGAAGCCAGC